TTTTTGTGACTGCCGAATTAGAAAAAAATGGCTCTTCGTGTTATATTGGTTACTGACTCGTGACCATGGGAGTCCAGTTTACCATGGAAGTCCAGTTTACCATGGGAATCCAGTTTACCGTAGAAGTCCAGTTTACCATGGCAGTCCAGTTTACCATGGGAGTCCAGTTCACCATTGAAGTCCAGTTTCACCATGGGAGTCCAGTTTACTATGGGCAGGATTCAGTAACCTGCTGCTCCGGATCATTGTGCCGATCTTTAATGACTGTTTTGTGACGTCATTTATTGAGGATTGCCGTCTCGTATCCACACGCATTGAGGGTCTTGGAAAAAATTTAGGGTTTTTTTTCTACGAAATTCGAAAACAAATTGCCTGCTCTTGTTAATTGGGTTTGCCGATCACTTATCTCGACCAACGGTTTCCCAACCCATGGTCGGCAGGCCGTGGAACTTGGGAAACAAGCATCACTTGCCAGAATGTAGTGATTTTAAAAATTACGGCTGTCATAATGACAGTCGCCGGCATAGTTGACATGGCTAATATTCTGTCCGTTGATACTTTTGCTTGCATCTCACCAGATCCAACTTTAGGAATGTATCTTCTAATGTCGCTGTGAATCACTTTGGTGAAAGCAAGTCTCCTTGTAACAGACTCTGATACACAACATATCAATGTGAAAGGTGCAGAAAAATCTTGAATCGGTGTATATTAACTGCTGTGGCGCATGAATCAGAAACATGGGCATCGTCAAAGAAAATGTAGAAATTACAAAAAAAGTGTGTGGAGCGTGGAAAAGTTCATTCTTGAAATGACACCGAGACATGAAGAGGAACGCACGGATCACTGTTGCAAGTCCAACATATCACACAGTCTGTAGCTCCGATAACGCGTGCTTTCACAGCGCGAATTTGGATATAAAGCGATGAATGTATTCGGGAACAAATGTTTTTCTCACGCGGATGGGAATTTTATAAAACACGACTGAGCAAACAGAACTACGTCGCGCGAGTCGGAATGAACAGTTGTGCGGCTGCCTCGGTGTAGCATCACACAAGGCGGGATATTGCTGGATCCTTCCAGATGCTACCCACGCGCCTCGGTGTTTGTTCAGCCCATTTCATATATTATTTATGATAACGCGATTTCTCCATAACGCGGTGTTCTTCAGAAGCGCAACTACCACCGCGTTACAGGAGAAGAGACCGTACGTCGACTCTGAAGGAGAGCGAGTTCGGGGAGGCTACGTCGCTCGCAGGGACGATGGCCGATGGTCGTGACCAACGACGAAGTGGCAGCCGAAGGAGAGAAACGCACCGGAGAGGAGGTCCGCCACGGCGACAGGGCAGTGAAGTCACCTCGTGCGTGCCGGATCGAGATGGACTCGTTGGTGGCGCCTTGGGGAGGTCCTCATCCGGGCAGCGGATGGATCACGGCGGCTGCCGACGGTGTACAGAACGGAGCGAACGGCCGTTTCACATTGCCGTGAAAAATCGGGCACGCCGAGACGTTAAAAGGATGGCGACGAGGAGGAATCGCAACGCTGTGCTAAGCCAAAGCACGATCCTTCTCATGCGCCATCCTGAGACAACGGGGGGGGGGGGGGGGGGGGAGCGCGGTGAGTGTGGTGGGAAATAAATAAATAACCCCCCGCGATAAATAAGCAATGAAGCAGTTGCGCTCATTTTTAATGGAAGCGCCCGCTACGCAACCGGGGCCACAATTTTCACGAAAAACATTTTCAAAAAGATTCGGAGATGACAAAGGGGAGAATCCATTAAAAACAGACTGCCACCGTGAGGGCGGTGGACCCTGACATGCTCGCGGGCTTACCGCATGCATAGGGATGGGGGGAGGTTGGCGGATCACATGAGGATAGGAACAGCGCGCTATCTTGGTGCCGTGTTGATTTTGAATATAGAGTCTGTGCTGCGAAATACATTGCCGTTCTGCAACTGTTATAACTGGTTCTCTGCTCCCAGCATTCACACACTCACACTGACCGGCGTGGTAAAAGTATGGTCCATGAAACCCCCATGATCCTATCCATACCACATCATCATATCACTTCATTTTCTTATAAGCCTTAAGAGTAAGCCTATTTATCACACGTCACATACTGTGTTCAGTTATTAACCACGCAGTATTCCACCGTTGAACACACATCATCTTTTCATTCAGTCCCTTATTATTTTCCGACCATTAATAAGAAAGCGGAATGTGCTGAGGATAGCTTTAAAGGGAGACCAATCGAGGTGACGATATATCGTACGATGTAATATTGTACGACATAATATAATGATCATGTCCGCTTCGCAAAACATCACTACATTGTGAGTATGATGGTGTGTTTATATTTTAAATATATATGTAATTAGAATTCTGAAATAACAAATGCTAAATAATCAAATTGGTAAATAAACAGTTATTGCACTCAAATTAGTGGCTTTGAGAATCAAATATTTAGAATGAATGCAAATGTTATGCTAATGCTGCTGCAAAGGACCAACTGCAAAAATGGGTTTGCGTGCTCAGTCTGCAGAAGCGAAATGGCCGATGAACCTCAGCCGAACATTCAGCACGACATTAAACGAACATAAAAAAAAACAAATTTGAATTTAATTTCGAATGCTGAATCGCGACAATTCACAGCATCACGGGGCGGGCTGGGGTTGAATAAATCTCGAGCACGCCAGTCAGCTCCCACATTACCCATTCGGACAAACAGCGCCCTCTGCTTCATGCCTTACCACACGTGGCAGCTGCACTGCACCAAATGCGGTGGAAATCGGTTTGTTTTGGTGCCTGCTGAGCAGTAACCACAACACACGTGTACGTTGAATTTATTTCACACCGTACGTAGCCAACCGTGCTAATTTGAGATGCGGATACAATAAAGGGCCACGCTCTAACCATTCCCCTATGGACAATAATCTCTCCAATCCCATCCAACCCCCTTAACAGAAGACACTGGGTCCACAAACTTGCCGCTGCAAGTGCTATGCTGTTGGCGATCGTCATCCTGACGTTTCATTCAATTCCTTTTCATTCGAGCGCTCCCTCCTCCTCCTCCTCCACTTTGTCAATCCATCTTTTTTCTAGTTCATCCTTGCCTATTTTCTTTCACCAACATTGCCAATGATTTTTCCAGATTCCTGTTTGGTGGCGTTTTTCTGGCATAACCGTTGTCCTTCCCCCCACACCTCCAATTAACACGGTCGGCTATGTATGGTGCAAAAGAAGTTCAACATACATACGTACGTACCATAGCAGTCGACGTTCCGCAATTCTATCATCGTTCGTTTCAATATTAAAGTTCTTACGGATGTTGCTCGTTCGTTCGTTTCTCAATCCGCTTGTCCTGGTGAGGGTTCGCAGCGGCAGCATGTTGAGTAGTGGCGGTCAAAGACTTCCCTGTCCCTGGCGACAGACTCTAGCTCTTCCTGGAGAATTCCCAGGCGTTCACAGGCCAGCCGAGCGACATAGTCCCGCCAGCGTGACCTGGGCCGGCCTCGGGGTCTTCGCCCAGTGGGACGTGCCCGGTAGAGTTCCAGGGGGAGTCTACCGGGGGGCGTCTTTACCAGGTGCCCGAACCACCTTAACTGGCTCCTCTCGATCCGGAGGAGCAGTGGCTCGACTCGGAGGCTCTCCCGAATTAAAGAGCTCCTCACCCGATCACGGAGAGTGAGCCCGGCAAGCCTGCGGAGAAACCTCATTTCGGCCCCTTGTACCTGCGATCTCATCCTGTCGGTCGTTACCCAAAGCTCATGACCATAGGTGAGGGTGTGAACGTCCATCGACCTGTAAACTATGAGCTTTGTCCGAGAACTCAGCTCCCAATTCACCACCACGGAACAGCACAGTGCCCGCAACACTGCGGACACCGCAGCAATCCGCCGGCCAATCTCCTGCCCCCACTTACCATCACTCGTGAGAGACCCCGAGGCAGGGGCGGTTTCTTCATTAGGGCGATTGGGCGACGCACCACCAATGTCATTGAACCACAGAGTCACGCTAGCCGTCACTGCAGCCTCTGGATATAGTCCAATCAGCGTCATGTCACGTTCTGTGGAGTACCGCCTCTTTTTGGGCGATTTCACTCCGGCTGAGAATCGCCCCGAGTGGCCCCATAGACTTACATTCAAAGATGTTTTTTTTCGACCGGGGGGCGCTCCAATGCATTCTCTATGGCTTCCGGGAGGGCTCGCCCTAACGTGCTTACGTCATCATACGTGCTTACGTCATCATACGTAAGCACGTTTCATCCAACAATATAATTTGTGGCCACCTAGTGGAATCTTTAATAAAATAAACTTGAGTGGTTTGTTTTAATAGTGAGTATAGAAACAAACAAGATGTATTGTAAGAGTCACTTTATTTTTCATTAATATTAAAGAAGTGAAGTTGCCTTTACATGCTTAAGCTGTTAATTTATCCATTGCATGGGTGGACCTTATCCTTATCAATCATCCAGACATTTGCCCCCCCTGAGAGATTTTGCAGGAGCCGCCACTGCCCCGAGGTACTTAAACTCCTCCACTAAGGGCAGCTGTTCCCCCCTCACCTGGAGAGCACACTCCACCATCTCCTGGGAGTGAACCTTGACCTCAGATTTGTAGGTGCTGATCCTCATCCCAGCCGCTGCACACTCGGCATCAAACTGTCCAAGTGCCCGCTGGAGATCGCAGACTGACGAGGCAAAGAGGACAACGTCGTCTGCAAAAAACAGCGACGCCACCCACCTCCATGCCCCCGTACTGGATACTCTCCATACCTCGGCTGCGCCTTGATATCCTGTCCATGAAAATCACAAACAGGAGTGGATACGAGACGCACCCTTGGTGGATGGTGGAGTCCAACACCTATTTTTTGTTAATTATTTCTGAAAACCGGTACGCAGTAACAAAAATATATTTTCAACAATCGGCAGCCCATCGCTGAAATTGGCTTTGGCGACCACGCGGCAAAACACCACCCAGTCAAAACTCTCGGCGGAGACAAAGTCAACACGTTCCAATGTTTATTTACACTAGAAAGGTAGCGAGCAACGTTGGCAATCACAGCTTCGTGCAGGACGGCAGCGTTAACAAGGGGGCACACGAGGGGTGGCAACGGCGGGCGCAGCGGCGACGCGTAAGTGCACCGAGCTGCGCTTCCCGCGTGGCTCAGCCGAAGGCACAAACACAACTCCGGTAATCTGCAACTCTTTACAGAGTTGTGCCGAGAATCAAAGGAGCCAGGTTCTCATCAATGCATATATATATTTTTTAAAAGCACCGAATGTCAACAATGACTTATACCGTATTTGAATGCAATGTTATCAAATACACCTTTTGCTTTTCAACATGCACTTAAATTCTATCGGCTAGAAATCTGCAAATGTAGAAACGATGGCCGCACATTATTTAAGCGAAAACGCTCCGACACACGCGACCGGGAGGGGAAGAGAAACGAGGCGCTCCGACGCGTCTTCTCGTCATGCCGCGCATCGGTCCGGCGCGACGTCCGACGTTTCGCTCCACGCGCTGGGCACTTCTTCAGTTCCCGATGAAGCTCCCAGCAGCCGTAGCGAAACGTCGCGCTGAGCGGCACGCGGCGCAAAACCGAAAATACATCGGAGAGCTACGCAGCACAACCGCAGTGAGAACGTTTTATATATGTGATGAAGGTGTAGCACCACTAGCAGTGAGGTCAGCCCCGCCCAATAGAAAACGTGCAATGTCACAATAAGGCGGCTCCGACTGCCACGTCTATCCATCCGTAAGGAGATTATCACCTCCGCTCGCATTCATATTGGGGTGTTGTTGTCTCCGGGTACACCCGTTTTCTCCCGCATGTAATGACCACTCATTAATGGAGTTGGCCAAACATCCAAATATAGAACCGCTGAGCTTGGGAAATCGTTGGCGATGGTTCTGGCTGCCTTCCCGCTCGTCTGTGGTTTCCCGCGCCCTCTGAATCGTAATCTCTCTATCTCACTCCGAGAGAGAACAAAAACCATACCTGGCCGCATGGGTTCTCCCTCCTAAGCTCATTTAGGAAACAAAAAAAAGAAACCGATAATGTGGCAGCGAAACAAGCACACACAAATCGAAATGTGAATACAAAAATCCTGCTTTGTTGATCTGCCCTTCAAACTGAAAGAATTCCCGAGGAAAAACTTTAGATGTGGTGTTATGAGAGAACGGGCAGAGTGAGCTGACAGGACGAACACAGGCTGGAACGACTTGGGAGTCTACTGAGAGGAGTGGTAGCGGAGGTTCAGCTGAACCAACTGATGAAATAGATTCTGCGAAGAAAAATCGAAGTGAAAAATAGGAAGAAGGGAAATGTGAGCAAGCTGGACGGGACGACGCTGACGATCGTCAACGGTGGAAAGCAACGGTCGTGCGCGTCGAACCTCGGTTATGAGGACGACACTTGATGATGATGACGGCGATAAAAATGAACATCAGCGCAACGCTGCAAAGATGCAGGCAATTTTTTGGGGTTTGTGCTCAGATGGACTGCGGGAGGGAGATAGCCAACAAAGTCCACCGCACGACAGGGCTCCATTTCTTACTTTCCGCGTCACTGATAGAGCGGGCGTAGGTGGCACATCGCAGGAGATATACCGGAAGTGGTGTGCGGCACGCGGAAAATAATTTCTGGGCTGGGCTGACCCAGACAGACCCCGCTGAAATTGAGCCCTGCGCCACAGGCTCATTCATACATTCATGGGGGGGGGGGGGGAGGTATTCGGGCAGTTTGGTTAAAAAAAAAAGTGACCGTGTGTTCGGCCGCGTGTCGTGACCGGTGACGAGCGACCAATCAGCTGCTGGGCACCCCCACGTCGCCCTTGTGCTGCGGCTCCTGCCACCAGTCCGAGTAGATGGACTCCTCGTAGTCGCCCTCGCCCTCGAACTCCACGTCCGACGTGTCCAGCTCCGGCTCGTACGTCACGTCGCCGTCCAGCTCCATCTGCGAGCGGCGGACAACGACGCGCGATCATCATCGGTCAGGTCGACGCGGCCTCGCCAATGGCCTGGGAATGGCGCGCTTAAATAACCCCTTTTCCACTGGCATATCCGAGCCGCGCCAGCGCAGGGCTCAACGCAGGACGGGTGGTTTTGCCCGCCGGATATTTGCCGTGCAAAGTCAGAACTGAGAGCCCGTGATATGCTGGCTTCACGAGATATCTGAATCTGGCGTGATAACATCAAAGTCTTGTTTGAAAGCATTCAGGCGGTGACCCTAAATGCTTTGGCTGTTGGGCTTTTATTAAGAGTTCATATCTATGTACAGTATTATTGCCTATGTTTACCCATGAAAGTAACACTGGGTCTCAAGACTACTGTTTATAGATTTTTTTTCTTTTAAATCACACTTCTGAAATTCAAAATGGAACGGCGCGCAGGGCAATGCTGAGTTGTTGTTGAACGCATCTCCGCGCTGCGCAGACACGTCACGTGTCAGGCAGTCCCAGCATAGCTATTCAAAATGAACACGAATTATCTCGTGGTGCTGCTGCTGCTGCTCAGATGATGACAGTGGTGCGACACGAGCACACTTTACAAAAAACAAACTCACACACGACCCTCCTGGGCCCTCGATGTACTGTGAAGAACGGCCATTGCCCAAAACGATGCCTTTTGTGTACTTAAAAAAATGTTGAGGCCGGTATTATTGACGAACGCGTTGACTTTTTCAGCTTTATACTGCGCTCTAAGCAGTGTAAGTTGAACTTCTTTCACACCGCACATAGCCAACCGTGCTAATTGTAGGTGCGGGGAAAGGACAACAAACTAAACACACAAATACAAAGGAAAGAAAGTCTCTCGCTGCACCATTGCTCTGACACACCTCCAGACCGAGTTGTTTCTCAGAATATATTTCGTTTGAACAATACTTTACACCTCGATACTATACACTTTCTGTATTTCAAGACAATGTAAATCACTGCGCCGATCGAAAATGAAAAAAAATCAAAGCTGCAACTTGACTATATTCACGCTTCACGAAAAAACGACAGCATTGTTGCTGAAGAAAGTGGGACACGACGAGAATTAGGCCGTCACTCCGAGGGCAGGCCGTACGAGTTTATTCACGGTGACCCACCTCGTCGTCTGGGGCCAGAAACTCGACGGAGAAGTTGTACATCTCCCAGAGGCGCACGGTCAGGTCACGGTACTCCAGCGCTTCCTGGGAATTTAGGGTGCGGATGGCAGTGGGGATGGCAGGGGGGGTGGGAAGGAGCACTTTAGTTGTTGTTGTTATTTTTCTGCCCAAGCTCGATAAATCAGACTTATAGGATTGATGCATTTATTTACTTAGACAGTACAACACCTCCTAACGAGCACCCCTGTTAACGACTCATCGCTTAACGACGGGCCTCTATAGAGCCCAATGTGTAGTGTATAGTGTAGTGTATAGTAGTGTAGTGTATAGTGTAGTGTATAGTGTAGTGTATAGTATATAGTAGTGTATAGTAGTGTAGTGTATAGTAATGTAGTGTATAGTAGTGTATAGTGTAGTATATAGTGTAGGGTATAGTAGTGTAGGGCTTCCATAGAGCCCAGTGTGTTGGCTTATTGACCATTCCCCTGTTAACGACAGGCTGTTGGAGGTTCAGTAAATATTAATTCATGCATTGATTAACCCTGTTTCTTTTAATTGTATGTGTTTATAATGTTGTTAGTATATTTATATATTAATATCCATTGTTTAAATATTATAAAATAAAATTTTGGGTGAAAAACGGTAACTTCCGATGGTATCGGAACAAATTAAGCCTTTCGCGTGTATTTCCTATACTCGCTTAACGACCAAATCACTTAACGACCGGTTTCGTGGAACCAATTAGCATCGTGTTTAGTGAATTCCTTTCGATTTTCTCTACTTTTGTTGTCTTGTTTGCTGTTGTAATTCGCTAACCCGCCATACTGGAAAAAATAAAAAGAGCTTCACATTCTTTAGGTATTTCGGTAATGTCACGTAGACGTCTATGTGACTTTACCGAAAGACCAAAAATATATAAATTCCTGCAGTCACGAAAGCTTCAAGTCAAAGAGCTTCACAGCTCATCGGATTCCTCCAGCAGTCTAAATCAAGATTCTGAGAGAATGGGATTAAAAGTTACAGAAAAGACGGGGGTGGGAGAGGGTGCTGCCACATTGTTGCAAACGAAGCAAGCGGTGGCAGTTGGTGGTGGCAGTTGATGGTGGCAGTTGGTGGTGGCAGTTGGTGGTGTCAGTTGGTGGTGGCTAAACTTGTTTCTTCTTTTGGTGGGGCAGTGCCGGCACCGCAGTAGGGGATAGGCAGCAGCAGGGGGGGGAGGGGGGGCAGTAGCAGCGGCACGATGGACGACACCTTGGCGCAGCAGTCACCGCACTGCCTAGCTCCGGCCCTGTGGTGACGTGGCGGCGGTGATGTCGCGGCGAGTCCTCACCGGTCTGGGCTCGAAGTCGGCGGTCGTGAGCCCCTCCGCGTCCTTGTTCACCTTGTGGTAGACGAGGTTCTGCTTGATCACCTCGTCCTCCGGGTCGAACAGGGAGTAGCTCTCGAGAGCGCGCACGGCCTGCTTGAACTCACCCACTGGGGTGGAGAAGCACCGCCATCACCGCACCACACGAGGCGCACACACGGCGCCCGCGTCAGGCAAGCAAATCCACGCGCCGCGTTCGTCAACTAACGGCAACCTGACAACAGCGGGCTCCGTGTTTGGGTGACGACCGTATTTTAGATTACTCATTCGGTCGTTCATTCGTCACGCATCGTCAGCGAAGGACCGTTGGCGCAAAACGCGTAACCTCTTGCGTTCACATAAACTTGCTCTTGGCTGCCATACGCTGTCTGTCTCGAGTGATTTGTTTGATCCACGGATCACGGTGGGGGGGGGGGGGGGGCGACCACGAAGGCAGCACCAATCCTTTGAAGGTTGCAGTCCACTTCGAACCTCGACCCACCAACTGAAGCGCGCGCGAAGGGAGACACGTTTGGATGACTTTTATTTGGTCTTTTTTTTCCCTCTATATTCCAATTGCGCTAAATAGATTCACCATGAGATGAATCCATTGGGAAATCTCGCAAACTTAGGCCGTGAAAACGACCCGCAAAAAATATTTTTCACAAGGCTTCCAAAACACTCTCCAAGTGGCCTTTCTAGACTTTACACAGTAGGGGGCACACTTTCCTACAGGCTCTACATTTAGACTGTTTATGGCATGATGACGTCAAACTGAGATTGTTTTTTTTACTCTTAGAGCTCCCGTTTTTCCGTTCGTTTATCATCCTTTTCCTTTTGTTTCCCATTCTTTATCTTCTCTCTTCCCTTTGCCCTTGATTAAACATTTTCCATTCTTCATATCATTGACTCTACACCACCTTACCGCGGTGGTGTGCCACGGGTAAAGGGATTGGGAGACATGAAAATCAATACAGGTACCTTGAGTTTTAATAACCAGTATTTCCTCAACGAATAGACACATCACTACACCCACATGAGCCACCGAGCGATGTTCTAATCCCCGCGAGCTGCATGCCAAGCCGGACCAGTGATGGCAACTTAGCGACTTTTGAGTTTCTCCAACGACAAAATTTTGTCCGAGCGTCGAGCGGAGAAATTCTATCGACTTCCACTGCGGACAATTTAATTCCCTGTTTGTGTTAAATATTCTGCGTCAGTTAGCTCTCTGTAATACACGGTGAATTGTCCATTAACACGATTGCAAGTATGCGTTCAGGATGCTGTATCAGTTACTGTGTAAAACTTGTTCAACTGTCTCGGCGATTGACAAAACATAACATAATGATCATTGACGTTTTGGATTCAGGCCTCGTAAAGGTCTGACCAAATTTGCGTCGTTAAGACCCTGACAATTCTCGCAACCAAAACGGAGCGATTAAGGTACGGTCGCTAACGCTCGTTGTGAGCGGACGAGCCAAACACATTAAAGGTTCAGCACGCTACTAGAACGCCCCGTGCACCGCGCGGCAACTCAATTTGTTCGGCTGCGTTGGGTGGTGGAGGATCTCGACGACACACAAAAAGATTTTGACCCCCCAAAATTCAATTGTGGATAATTTTTGAATTAATTTAAGAAGGTCCGTCTCGTGACATCAAGCGAACCGTTGAGGTTCGTTGAGGCGACATTACGCTCTATTTGGCAGACCCCCCGGGGGGGGGGAGGGACTCACGCTTGTAGTAGCAGAACTGGAGGTAGTGGTACATGGTGGCCACGAACTTGGCCTGTGGCTCTCCACCGGACAGAGGCACCAGGCGCGCCTCGCAGCTCACTTTACACGCGAGGGCCTGCGAGTAGTGATCTGCAGGTCAGTGCAACCAGGGAGAGAGAGAGAGACACACAGAGACGGAGAGATGAGAACCAATGGACATTACGGCAAACAGCTCTTAGCAGACACGGCCCCCTATAAACGCAATACTGTACAGGTTTCCCTCGCTTTATGCGGGTTCTGTTTGTGCGATTTCGCAAATATATACGGCTTACCTAGTTTTACCCACAGTTCTATGTGGTCGGAAGCGGTGACAACACTGTGTGGTATGGCCTGTGCGTGTTCTGTGCGCACTACTTGGCAGGCAGCTGCCTCGTGCAGTTTCGCTTTGTGTGTGCTCTTTTTTTTAAAATCCTTTGCTTGCGTGCTTGCTTGCTTGCTTGCGTGCTTGCTTGCTTGCTTACGACTGTGCAAATCTTTCGGTCGTTTTTTAACCCCCTTCCCGTGATCCAATCGAGCTGACATTTTCCACACAGACTCGTTGTGCGAGACAATTAATGTTCGTGAAAAAAAATTCCCAAAATTTTACACTTTTTAGGCAAAAAAATTTTATTTTACATATATTCAAATAGAACTCATTCATGGCTTTGGTTGAACGTCACAGTGTAAGAGCCCAGAGCGTAACCCCTCCACAGGCCATGGCGGAGTAGCGCAGTTGGTAGCGCCCTCACTTCCCATGCCAAAGGTCGCGGGATCGATCCCCGCATCCTCCACAGGCGAATATATTTTTAAATCCTTTATATTAAGTTTGCTTGCTTGCTTAGGACCGTGCAAATCTTTCGCTCGTTTTTTAACCCACTTCCCGTGATCCAATCGAGCTGACATTTTCCACACAGACTCGTTGTGTGTGACAATTAAGTTCGTGAAAAAAATTCCAAAATTTTACACTGTTTAGGGAAAACAAATTAAATATTTAATTACCAATTGCTTAATGGTGGCAGACAATCATCTGACCCATAGGTGGCAGCCATCTCAAGCCAGAGGACGAGAGGACTCTAGCCGCCACGCATATAAAGGATTTATAGTGAAAAACTTTGTTTTTACGGGTTTACTTGTTTGGAATGCATCTACTACCGCGTCAAGCGAGCGAGACGCGTCATTGGTTTCGGGCCATCTCTCTCTAATGAAAGGCGCCTCGCGCTCCATCCCCCCCATCCCCTAGTTGTGTGGCATACCAACTGACGGTGCAACGAGCTCGATTTGCATTTCCACTCTCATATCTGACGAGTGTAATAGGCAAAGGCGGCATCCTGCAACATCTTTGCTCGCGCGACTTCTGGTAAAGGAAGGGCCTCCAAGTGGAAGGAGCTCTAGAGAGGACCTCTAAATTGACGGGGGCACTTGTGAATCATTTTCGAAACCGACTGTGCGCGAAAATTACACAGAGAATACATGGATTGCATTGTCCGATTGGCCAATTGATTAAAAGGTAATTTAACGTGGGACATGAAATCAAGCCCCCCTTTTTGCGTGATTGTTGTTTTACTTTGTAACGATCCACCAGAGGGACTCTCTAGAGCGCCCGATAGTGGAAGCCCTTTCGCCAGCTATGGCACGGGCAAACTACTTCACAGCAGCGCTGTCCCATGGTCACCATGCAGAGCGGTGTCTTACAGACTTGTGCCGTAAGCAACCGTTTAACTGTGACGGATGGAGCCCACAAGAATGTGGAGGAATTTGCTCTTGCGGTGTTGGGTGGGTGCAGTGGTTGCGTGGAGTCTGGTGGGTGGAGAGGTTGGGTGGAATGGTTGGGTGTAGTTGAGTGGGTGGGTGGAATGGATGGGTGGAATCGATGGGTGGAGTTGAGTGGTTGGGTGGAGTTTGGTGGGTGGAGTTGGGTGGGTGGGTGCAGTGGTTGGATGGAGTTGGTTGGGTGCAGTTGAGTGGGTGGGTGCAGTGGTTGCGTGGAGTCTGGTGGGTGGAGAGGTTGGGTGGAATGGGTGGGTGTAGTTGGGTGGGTGGGTGCAGTGGTTGGATGGAGTTGGTTGGGTGCAGTTGAGTGGGTGGGTGCAGTGTTTGGGTGGAGTTGGGTGGGTGGAGAGGTTGGGTGGAATGGGTGGGTGGAGTTGAGTGGGTGGGTGGAATGGGTGGGTGGAGTTGAGTGGGTGGGTGGAATGGGTGGGTGGAGTTTGGTGGGTGTAGTAGAGTGGTAGGGTGGAGTTTGGTGGGTGGAGTGGTTGGGTGGAATTGGTGGGTGCAGTTGAGTGGATGGGTGGATTTTGGTGGGAGCAGTAGTTGGGTGGAGTTGGTGGGTGGGTGTAGTTGAGTGGTTTGGGGGAGTTTGGTGGGTGGAGTGGTTGTATGGAGTTGGTTGGGTGGAGTTGGTTGGGTAGATGCCAAGGAAGAAGAAGACACGATGGGTAAGATCTAACAACATCCATTCAGTGCTCGCTGAGCTGCATTGGTTTTCGGTCGTTGAACGAATACGTTCTAAGGTCGCACTCATTCCACACAAAGTGCTCGCCACATATGAACCACAATACCATCCTGATCTCGTCAAGGAGCATAAACGATCACACGAACTCCGGTGATCCTCGCACCGGCTTACGGCTAACCATTGAAAAAAGGCGGTCACTGCATTGCGCAGTTTCAAATGCGCTTCTGCGGCCGTCTGGAACGCTGTTCCTTCCGAAATTAGGAAGCCACTGAAGCTATGCGCCGTCAAATCTAGATTGAAAAATAATTTATTTAGAACTGCTTTTTGTGTTTAGTTTGTTTACATTTCCCCGCACCTCCGACATTTTTGGCTCCTTTATGTCCACCTGGCACATCCAATTAGCACGGTTGGCTAAGTACGGTGCGAAAATGGTTCAACATACTTTCACGGACAAGGGTGGTTTAGAAACGGCGAGAGAGTCGGTTGGCTGGAGCTCTACCGGAAGTCAAATGATGGCTGAAAAGGCAATAGTGCGTCGGGGTGGTCATGGGTGCGTAAGCCATATGGACCGGTTTGATCTCAAACACCGGAAGTTCCTCTAAATGCTTAACTGCCCTCCTTTGTACAAGGCACTGTAAGATTGGCAGCTGTGCGTGCGTGCTGCAGATGGCCCTCCTCGGAGTTTCACTCTCAGTTTGCGGGGGCCTTGTTCTCTGGCTCAGAGACCCAGACCGATGCTTCCTACTTTAACAAAGAAGAACATGATACTGTCCTGTGCGATTGGTTTCATCACTGCCCTTATAAATGCATTATGAATTAATGTACACTGTACATTCATATTATTAATAATTACTTATAAAGCAGATCCCTTCCTAACGAGCACCCCTGTTAATGACTAATTGCTTAACGACGGGCCTTCATAGAGCCCAATGTGTAGTGTATAGTGTAGTGTATAGTGTAGTGTATAGTGTAGTGTATAGTAGTGTATAGTATAGTGTATAGTGTAGTGTATAGTGTAGTGTATAGTAGTGTATAGTGTAGTGTATAGTGTATAGTAGTGTATAGTGTAGTGTATAGTGTAGTGTATAGTGTAGTGTATAGTATAGTAGTGTATAGTGGAGTGTATAGTAGTGTATAGTGGAGTGTATAGTAGTGTACAGTGTAGAGTAGTGTAGTGTATAGTGGTGTAGTGCCTCCATAGAGCCCAATGTGTAGTGTATAGTGTAGTGTCGAGTAGTGTATAGTAGTGTAGTGTATAGTGTAGTGTATAGTGTAGTGTAGAGTAGTGTATAGTGTAGTGTATAGTAGTGTATAGTGTAGTGTAGAGTAGTGTATAGTTTAGTGTATAGTAGTGT